TTTTTTCTCTCCTTCGTCGCTTGGGGCGGCAAAAAAGCTGGAGCTGGCCCCGTCCACAATGCAGAAAGACCGAACGGACGAAGGGTCCGACTGTCAGAAGCGAGAGGCACCCACGGCTCAGCCCTGGCCGCTTTCCGCACCTCTTGCGCTCTGCTCCATGTCACTCCTTATGCTCTCATGGAAATCCCTCTCCCGGGATGTGCTGTTCACCTTCTCCTAACCCCTAGTCTGCATCCCCCCCGCCCCATTGTTTCCAATCTCCCCTAAGCAGCCAGGTTCATTCAGGTCAAGCTCACAAACCTGCAATGCTCCAGCAAACTGGCGTCCTCCCCCTCACCCAAAGCATCAATCTGGACTAAGCCAAAACCCCGGCTCTGAACAGCCTCAGACACGCGGGGAATTTGGCTCTGTGAGCTTCATGGCACTGACCAGTGGGTACCGTTAACCCCGGCAGCGCTCTGTGCTGGAGACGTTCCAATATGAGGTGCTGCTGTGGGGGGCTGATCCCCGATTGAGGGCCTTGCCAAAAATTTTCCATCAAATACCCAAAAACCTGAAATATTTTGATTTAAAAAATGGCCACCATGGTGCCTTGTGGGAATTGTAGTTCCAGGATCTCAAGAGCCTGTTCTCCAGTATGGCCAGGTCTCCCAGGTTTGGACTACATCTCCCAGGATGCATCACTGTCTTGCCTGTTGGAGGGTGTGTTCCATAGGCATCCCTGGCCATGGGGCATCATGGGAGATGTAGTCCAGCCAGAGGGATTGACCCACAGAGGAGAATGGGAACACAAGGTGACTGAACTACAACTCCCATAAGGCAACATAGTGGCACCGTTGAATGGAAAGGCAGCTCCCCAGATCATAGGGGCGGGGGCCCCCTGGGTTGGACTGACAGGGTCTAGCCCCGATGGGTCCGGTAGCAGCATGCACTGTGCTAATGGGTTCTTACCCTCCAGTTCTGGCAGTACGGGCAGTGGGTGGATGTGGTGGTTGACGACCGGCTGCCGGTGAAGTACGGAAAACTGGTCTTCGTGAGCTCCTGCCAGAGTGATGAATTCTGGATGCCCCTGCTGGAGAAAGCCTATGCCAAGTGAGTTGGCTGATTCCTGTTCTACAGCCGGGTAGCTTTGCACCCAACCTTGCATTCCCATGGGGCAATGTAGCTGCTGGACAACAGAGAGCAACCCTTGGCCCTGATGTCACATTGGCTGACCAGAGAACTCAGAGAGCCAAGAAAAGGGGGAAGGGTCATTCTCTCAAGTTGACAGTGGGGGAAACTGAGACACGGAGCCTGTCCAAATCCACAGAGTCATTGGCATAGGCCCCAGGAGTCCTGAGTCCCAACCCCCGCACTCTAATCCACCAGACCCCACTTTCCTCGTGTAGCTGGGCACAGAACCCAGGAGTCCTGCCTCCCAATCCTGTGTGCTCCCTTTCTCCTTCCCCTTCCCACTTGCTGCCCCATTTCAGGCTCAATGGCTCTTATGAGGCCATGAACGGCGGGTACATGAACGAGGCCTTTGTGGACTTCACGGGCGGGATCGGGGAAACCTACGAGCTCAAGATGCCCAATCCAGAGCTCTTCAAAATCATCCGCGCGGCCCTCAGGAAGAGGTCTCTGATGGGGGCACACATCAAGGTGAGCTTGGGGAGAATCTCTCCTCTCAGCCGCTGATGTAATAATAGGCCCTGGATGGAGCACCAGGAGCAGAACTTGAACCAAGGAGCTTAGGATCTTAATTTGCGAGTCCCAGCTCCTGGCATGTGTGAGGGCTGCACTTCTCCCCTCTGGTCCTGGCTTCTTGTAGTGGTGGCTGGGCCACACAGCTGTTTAGGAACCTGCTACGATATTGGCTACCAGACCTACACAGACCCCGACCTAGATCAGGGCCCCGTCGTGCCGGGTGCTGCCCAGACCCCGACCGAGATCAGGGCCCCGTCGTGCCAAGTGTTGCCCAGACCCCGACCGAGATCGGGGCCCTGTTGCACCGGGTGCTGCCCAGACCCCGGCCAAGATCAGGGCCCCATAGTGCCGGGCGCCGCCCA